AGATATCGGTTGGGTATGTTACAGCTCCGCTTAAATATCTCAAAGGAAGTATAGATACGGCAGCTCCTGTATCCACAATAAAATTTAAACTTTGAGCTCCTAACCGTGCGGCTACAATGAGAAGCGTCGAGGAAATGGAAGCTAACACCTCTCGCCTAGTTAGTTTTCGAAGTCTCACGAGAACTGGTGAATTTGGGCGAGAGTTGGGTTGCATTTGAACATTCCGTTTATTTGGCCATCTGCACCACGGCTTACAAAATTTTGCACGTTCATAAAGTATAAGTGTGCTCGGCAAATTTGAGGTTTTTGGTCCTTGTTAAAAGGGCGAACACTGGTAGGGAATTTATTTTCACTGTGGGAACAGCCATGTATCCTTTTAGTTTCATTTTATTTTGCTGTTCATCCTTTTGCTTCCCTGAAATCTGTCGAATATGCGGTGTCTTGTTTGTTAAAATATAATAAGTCGTCCGCCATTTTTTCAAGACGATCTGTGTCTAAATCGACTTGTGCAGCTACCACTGGTTTAATGGAGTGAGGTAGGGCTTGAATAAATTTGTGACGACGATATCGTCCCCCACGCCAATTCGGCTTGCTAATGACATAAGTTCATTCAGATATACTGAGGGACGACCTGTTACAGTCGATGACGACATTAATTTGTCCAGCATCTCTGGTTTTTGTTTTCTCGTAGCGCCCGTCACTGCTTCTTTTTAGTGCGTCATAATCTTTTGATTGCAGTATAGTTGGCTGTATATTTCCTACTATGTCCAGGGAGAGCTGCCAAAGTGTTAAAAAAATTTTTGACTGGTCTGTCTTATATTTGCAATATTAAATTGCGCCTCCATTATCGCAAACCAAGCTATTACCAAGCCACAGTGAAAAGCCACTGGAAATTCCTGCGTAAACCAATATCCAATGTCATAGACTGTTGTCCGTAGGTCTGAATATGTGTGCCATTCGCAGCGTGCAAAGTAACCGAAGATTTAGTCTTCGAAAAGGTAGGTCTGGGTGGTATAACGCTGGTTTGTGCACCAGTATCGACGAGGAATGACTCGCCTGAATTTCTGTCCTTGATATAAAATAGACGGTTGGATGATAGGCCCCCAACAGCAGATGCCGCCTTCACTCGCTGCTGGGGCCGGCGTTTCCCGCCTTCTGGGTTGCTTTGAATTCTGTTTGCTGCTTGAAGGTGCACGGTTTTGTACATTTTCTTGCCGAGTCACCGAAGTTGTGATGGTACTAGCATACCGTAGTTTTTCGTGGACAAGAGGCGGAGTTGGAACGATGCCGGGACTTGAGTTTTTAGTTGGTCCTCTACGTAGGTACTCTACTTGCGTCGACAGTTTGTTAAGCTGCTTCTGTAGCTGATAAACTGTATCTGCCATAGTTGTTTCATGTGATACTTGAGTATCAACACTACTAATTACTGTGACATCGTTAATTTTATCTGCAATCTCAGCAGTTTTAAGCAGGTCCTCGGGAAGTGTCGCTAGGATTTGTGAAGTCTGAGCTGGTAGCTTATCAATCCAGAACTTTCTGAACAAGGAATCAGACATAGTGTGTTTTCACAAAAGATTTTTCATTCTCCGAAGCAGCTGGGTAGGTTTGTTCTCGCCTAGTTGTATTGTAAATCATGAAGGCGACGCTCCTGGGATTTGCCCTGTGCGGTATATTATAGCTTCCTTCAGCGTATCAATAGGGTTATGTGTCGGCACAGTGTCGAGGAGGTCTAACACATCTGAAGCTATCTCTGGTGGAAGTTTTTCCACAGCGTACGCGTATCGTGCCATTTGCGAGTGAATGTGTTTGGCTTGAAAAATTGCTTCTAGTTGCGCAAACCAAACGTTTACATTCCTGGCAAGTTTAAAACGACGGCTGTCTCGTGAGCAGGTTGATCGGCCATGTCTGTCAGAGTTACTTGAGTGAAAAGCATATGGTGTAAAATATTTCTCGCGCCAAGTCGAATTTTCTGTGAACTAGCTCTCTTGTATCTTTGTCTTCGTGGATGTAGGTGTTGTGGTGGCAGTCTTCTTCTTTGAAGCATTGGTAACTTCGAGGTTGCCAATTGTGTTGGGCTTTTCGCACGTCGGGATCGCCAATTGATGGGTTGTTAATGGTGTTGGTTAGAAAAGAATCAGAAGGGTTTTTGAACAAGGTTGCGTTTTTACATTAACACTCCACTTTAAATTTGTAAAGAAAACACAAAAATGAATGACGGGAGATCAATGAAAATCAACAAGTAAACATGTATTGAAAATAAGCATTACATACAATTCTGTTAATAACAATAAAGATTAAGTTACACGAAGTGGGTTCCCTTGTATTGTGTGAAGAACAAATGTATGTTGTAATAGTAATAATGTCTTTTGTCTAAATTTGTTGGTAGTTTAAGAATGTTTGATGTTTGAGTTTGAAATTTGAAATACTTGTGCAGAAAAATGATATACATAGTTCGAATAGTTCACTTGGCTTGCAAACAGACAGTACACTGTGTTGTGTGAGTGTAGTTTATATCTGTGTGTGTTTGTGAGTAGAAAATTGAATATACACATACATGGTTTAGGTTGTGAAAATTTATAATCTACTTAAGTTATTTCTTTAATTTCTACTTTTTTATAGATGTAAGGTGGCTCCAGGGACGAGCGTGGGAAGGATATTGAAGAAAGTGTTATTTAATGTAATCGACCAATCGTTGATTTTTTTCTATAGCTAGCTTTGTGAAGCAAAAACACGAGAAATTTTTATGTGGCTCGTGTGATGCGTAAATTGTCTGTACAAAAGGTATTGTTTATTTTCTGTCCAATTATTGTTGAGTAATTTGTGGGCGTGGTGTACGTAGGCGTCCACTACACTATTATCAAATTTTCCAGTAATGATGGGGTTTTCCTTTAATCTTCTATTTGATGTTGTGTGGAATGTTAACATCTTCATTATTTCATTAATTTCTCTTTGAGTTACATGTACTATCCATTTTTGTTGTTGCTGTTGGTATTCCTCAAGTGATGTCATTTCTGTTATTTGGTACTGTTCTTCGTTTATGATTCTGTAGCACCAGCCCACAATATTCAAAGCAGGATGATCTTTGCTAAGATTCTCAGACTTAACTTGCTTGAAGCCTATTTTCACCATTGAGCAGTTGTATACAGCTGACAGTTTAGATATTTCTGAATGCATTTGGTGCCATGCATGGCATCCATTTGAAAGTTTCAATCTGACATGGCTATTTAAGAACATGACTCAAGTTTTCAGGTTGTTATTTTGGTTTTGTAGCAGTTTGTAGTGTTGGGAGAAACTACCTATGGTACAACTTATTCTATGTTCAGTTTTTATTTCTCCTATTTTATTTAATTTGTTATAACTGATCCATACACCACTTGAGGTATTTGAAATGTTTAGTATTTACTAATTCCATATCCTGTATTTTTATGATGGATTCAAGGTAGGTGCCGTCACTGATTTCATTCCAATTTCAGATCATTGTTTCTGTTATTTTGAGTAAGAGATTTTTTTTAATTTTAAATAAAGATCTGTTTAAAGAAAATGTAAAGTTTAATGCCATTTTTGAATGTGAAGATTTTTAAAAGAATTTTCTTTTGCAACTGTTAAATTATTTTTTGTACAGAAGATTCAATAGGAAATAATTCAAAATAAAATTCATATTTTTATCAATTTTGAAAGACGTTGGGTTTGAATATGTCACCTCTCTCAAACCAAACTCCTGAAACAAATGCTATTTTTCCTAAGCCCTTGGCCATTCAAAGTAGCTAACCAGAGTGTCAGGATCAGTTTTACTGATGTTGCTCAATTGAGTTCCTTGGCCTGTATCAGTTTTGATGGTGTCATCTTGAGACAGCTCTTCAATAGCCTGCGTGGAATTAAAAAGTTGAACATGTTCTTACTCTGAAGTTGACGGGTGGAGTGTTTGCTGTTTACCAACAGTTACTCAGAGCGAGAAATTGATGTATTTTGGCTACCGTGTTTGTTGGAGAGTGAGTTATTTTTCTGACTGGTTATGTGCATTGGGATTTGTGAGATAGTACCTGTGAATCGAGTTTTTGACATTTCTTTCTGCCCCGATATTTGAGTTTGAACTTACAGTGACTTGTTCTCTGTGTTGTGGAATTAATCTGCGACAAACATTTCCTTTGCTTTCAGAACGCTTACATAGCCCTTGGGAAGGTTAACTTTACACTCCTATACAGGTATGTGGACATGAAAATAGGGGCATACTCAGGATTAAACTGCTTTAGATTTTTATGTTTGTTGAAATCAATCAGGAAAAGAAACATTGTGAAAGCTTTATTGGCCTTCTCTAGCATTGACTATAATTTTCACTACTGTGAAGATTCTTTATAAGTAAATTTTTTTTTGGTGTGAGTGTGGGAGTGGGGTATATCCAGGCTCCAGAGTTTGGAAATTATATATATAAATGTAATTATGTAATATGGTTGTCAGTGTGCAGTTGTTGTTTTTTTTATGTCTTGCATTTTTATATATTGCACCTTCTCAGGCTAACATTTTTAGCTGATATGAAGTGCAAAGATTATATTGAATCAATTGCTAAGTCTGCTGCTAGGAAAGTTGATATGTTGCATTAGACAATTTTTCTCTTTGCAATCTATCTTACAAATTTATAAGTCTACTATTTGTTCGAATATTGCCACCACATATGGTCTGGTCTTGATAAAATCCAAAGAAGAGTCTGTAATTTTATTGGTCCTGACCTGGCATCTCGCCTGTCACTTTGCCACTGCTGTGATGTAGCTTCACTGTGCCTTTTCTACAAATACTTTCATACTATTATGGTACCTAGACTTTATGAATTTAAGCACAGTACTAGATTGGAGGCACAGTTTCATCACTTTACAGTTGAATTGACTAGATGTAATCATAAGTTCTATGCTAAGTTTCTTCTCTCACACTTCTTGCTTGTGGAACTTTCTTCTGGCTTCTATATATACATGTATATTTGATAAGTAAATTTTTCTATTTTCTTTCAGTTACCAGTGGATGTCTATTCCTGTCATGTTTCACCCTTACCTATCAACGTAAAATCGGTAATAAAACTTCTTTTTTATTCTCATATTATTTTCCTCCATTTATTATTGACCTTACTCTATCTATTGAAACCAAATGACCTTTTCATTTATTGCTCAAACCATTTTTTGACACTAAAATCAAAATGAACATCTAGTGATAGCAACAAATAAATCATTACATAACCTTTAACCCTTAGTACTAGACTATGTAGGAGTATGAAACCAAAGTAATAGTAGGAAAAAATTCAATACTTTAAAATATAGATAAAAATGGTAATTAACAATAAAGAAAGAAAAAGTTAAAATTTACACTATATTGTTCAAACTATTGTTCTCATCTTCATTGTCACATTCACAACATTTTGGACATTGTACATTCCACTCTTCTCCAGGTATTATATGTTGGAATTGATATGTAAATAGTTACAATACCTCATCTCAGAAATATAGACAGATATTGTAAAAGTTAGATTAGTTAAAAATTAAAATAGTTAAATAAATATAGAATACTCCCAAGATGCATCAGAACAAAATTCAAATTCACTCTCTCTCATTTTCAATGGCAACAGGAGGCAGAGGTCTAAGACAGTTCTCCAAATGACCATGCTGCTACCAAGAGATGAGCACAAACTTTTTGTATGTGTATATATATATATATATATATATATATATATATATATATATATATATATATATATATGTATGGATCCCTCCAAAAGAGCTCCTACCTTTTTACTGGGGCAAAGGAGAAGAAGGCTCATTTTACATTCAACCAGAGGAGAGCGTGAGCAGCTCTATTTGGGGCTAAAGAGTGGGGTTCTTGCACACTGCGCTCCAAAATTATTTACATTTTTTTTAAACATTTGTTTGTATTCAACAATGAAAAAGGAAAGAAAGGAAAATCTGAGCTAAACTCTGAGTTATTTTTTATTATTATATCTGTGTTAAATGTATGAGAGAGAGAGTGAAAAAGTGTGTGTGTGTTAGTTACACATGAAAATGAAAACTATTTCAACTTCTACCCCTTTTTTGGTAAAAAGGCAAGTGACTTTGACACTTGGGTGTTACCGTTCTGATGTCTGGAACATTTCTTATTAGTTGAGAAGAGAGTCTGAAAAAAATGTCTTCAAAAGAGTCATTCACTCCTAGAAAATCTTTGATGTTATTTTTTATTAGATATGTGTGTGTGTGTGTGTGTGTGTCAGTGAGAGAGAGAGTATAAAAGCTGCCTATAGATATTGGTGTGGTGGAAGAAAGGTTTGAACATTTTTTTTGTTTCTATGACAAATTTTCATTGCTGAATGAATAAATAAACCAATGTTTTCTTTTTAACTTACTGACAATTTACTTTTGTACACAATTTTGCCATTATTATTATTTAAAGAGAGTTATTAAAAATTAAATTAAATCTTTCCAAATAATAACTTTGGTTGGATTTTCTTGCCTATTTCCCTCGATATTCATCCAAATGTTGAATAAAATTGATTCTTGGTCTGAAATGATACTTTTTGTCCTGAAATAAAATTTCTAATTTACTTTTTTACATATATAAATTAGCCCCCTAAACACCTGATCCAGACATTGTGGCCCTGACATTGTTGCAGTGGGGCTTTTCTACACTGCCCCATAGGTAATAATACTTTTTAAAAAAATATTGAGGAAGCTGGACTAAGCTGCTAAGCACTCTCTTCTGTAAGTACAGCCCTGCTATTGTTGTAGTGAAGTTTTATCTGGATCCCACAATTCTCAGTTAGGAAAGTGGCTTAGCCCCTAAATTCCAACTCCAGAACGGCTGTAAAATCAAATTTTCAATTGACTAGTAAGACTATTAAATATCCAAAGGAAATAATTTGAGTCCCCTTTGATTCTAATTGGTAATGTAATCTCTTCTTCACTCAATTTCTCACCATGGTAATGTTTGCCCCTGTTTGCTTTTTCTATAAATATTTTCATGGCAATTGTTTGGAAGAACTTGCTATGGTATTTAGCTTTTTTGAATTTAAGTGCAGTACTAGACTGATGTCAAGGTCTCATTAATTTATGGTTGAGCTTGCGAGATGTAACCATAAATTTTATGCTAACAGTTTCTTTTCTTGCTTATGGAACTCCCTTCCAGCTCCATCCTTTCCAGTCAACTTTCCTTTAATCCACAAAAATTTAAATGCAATGTCAACTGTTATCTACTCCCCTCCTGATTACTCTTTCCTCTTCCTACACATTATTAATGTTTCTGTTCCTTGTTTGATAGATAATTCTTCAGTGCCAGTTTCGAATCCAAATTGGCTGAAAAAAATTACAACCTTGAAGGTGAAAAGTCGAAAAAAACTGATTTTTTACACTTTGCACAAAAATCAAAGGCAAAATTTAATGTCTGTAGAAAAACAGTTGAAATCAAACGCAAGAGATTATTAGAATTATAGAAAAAAATATAAATAAATATTATTATTATGACTGTCCATGGAAGAGGTTCCTTCCTTGCAAGATTGCGAATGCAAAATTGGCCCTTTTCAGCCTCCACCCCTCGTCATTCAAATTGTTAACTCCCCATTTGAGGATGTGCCTTAGTTGCAACCCAATTATTGTTACTAATATTGATATTCAGGTGGGCTGATTTTACACCACTTAAACTGCTTGAATTGAATGGCAAAAATTTCCAGTAATGGAACACCTGGTCAAAGATGGGTTATAATGCTAGTATATATATATATATATATATATATATATATATATATATATAAGCTTATATTCTGGAGGCATATTGGTAGGAGATATTTTAAAAATCTCTTCTAAATATTCATCAAAGAAGAACATTGCTTGAAATTATTTATTTTCAAGACAGAAGGTCTGTTCACAAATCTAGGTGATTCCAAAATTGCTGAACATTTTCATTGCAAGTTGGATGATATTTTAGTACTATCTCCTATCCAGACTTCTGTAAAAGTCTTGCAGGATGCACTCTCTATATTTTGTTTTTTAAATAGAGGAAGCTAGAAAAGTTCACTTACCTCCAATTGAAATTCTATGGGCACTTCTGATTTGCTAGATAAAGGATTCTCAATCGATTTCAGCTTGTTTTTTCTTTTGACGAAATAATTCTGTCAAATTCTGAGAGAGGAATTTCAATTCATTCAACATGTTTTCCTCCCAACTCCACTTCTGTTTTGGGAATATACTGCCCATAGTTAAGATAAATAAGACATTTCACCTTTTTGCCAGCTGATTTCTAAAAAGTTTCAGTGTCATGTTGAAAGCTTTTACTGTTGCTACTAGTTGGAAAACTAGACAATTTTTCCCTCTGATGCTGAGTATTAAAAACTTTCATATGATTTGTAACATCACAAATGAAGATATTTTAAATCTAGCTTTCAATTTCAAATGTTCTGCTCAGTTACACGATCAATAAATTCTTCACATTTGTCAAAATCTTTATACACACCTTGACAAAAAAAATGGCAGTATATACTTTCAACCGTTGCTAGCAAATAAAAACAAACTTCTCTCTCGCCCCCAACTTGAATTAATCCATCAAGTTTACAGCATTGTCAGCTAATCTTCTCTGACATTCTGAAATATCACAGAGAGTTAAGAGGATTAATTAGGTACAAAGATAGTGAAATATTGGTTGAATAAAGTTATGCTCCAAAAAACTTCATTTTTTTGTACATGATCAGTCAGCAAATTTATTCTGATTAACACAAAAAATTTACTATTTTGAAAACCCCTCGCAGGCCACACATGGAGAAAGCACAAGCCAGATCAAAATTTAAGTCTTTCAACCTTCAGGTTTCAATTACCAGTTTAAAAAAAAATGCTTAAGTTTTATTTATAGTGTTTTGTTTCTGTGTGTCTGCATGCTGTACTTATTAAAAGCCTGCAACTGTTTTTTTTTTAATATTTAATCATTTCATCCCAAAGAAGGCAATAAAGCCACTAAGACTCAAGGGGGGTTACTGATTACTAGAGAATATGATAAACATCTATTATTAAGGAGAGAAGACCATGAAAGAACAAAAATTAAGAATACAGATGATAACGATTGATATTGTATTTAAATGTTGGTGAGAAGTAAGATTCTTGTTTCAAGAAATTAGTTACTTTTAGAATAAATATAATTAAATTTTCATACAAAAATTTTGCATTGTCCCAAGAAACTTAACTATTTGTTCCAGACTACAAATGTTCCATCATCTCTGGGATGACTATAATTTCAAACTTTGTTAATCACAAATAATGATCTACAATTTCTGCCTGAATTATCATTATTTAAACTATTTATTTACTATCATCTTTGTTGTTGTTTTGGCCATTGTGTCCTCAGGCCTTCATCAGGTGTATGTTGATCAAGCTAACCAACATGGAATTCAAAACTGAACCCTTTATTTAATCTACAATGGTAGACTGTCATTATTGCACTGCCCATGGGATATCTTGTCTAGTTCTTATTCTTAGTACTGCTCAGTTATTGCTTGCCCTGTTTCTAGCATCAAGTACACAATACTTGGCCCAAGGATTGTGTTATGTAATAGTTTAGCAGATTATTATTTTTTTAAAGGAAGTGTATCTCTGCTCCAACTTCCTGGGGTTGACCATGGAGTCAATTTTGATTGGCTGAGCTAACATAGGAAAGGAGATAGGAGAAAAGTTTCAAGAGTTGAGTCTTAACCATCAAGCAATATAGACATGTTATCTTTCATGTTTGAAATGGCTCCCCAGTGAGGAAGAACAAACCCCACTGGATAGTTAGTACATGCCGACATTAATAAAAATAGTTAAAACTCTTTGTGTTTTCATTGCTGAACTGAAACAATTGACGATCACCAACCAAGAGAAAAAACTGTGCTGAGATCATTCACCGCTGACAGCATACAACAATTGAACTCAAATTACTATGTCACCAAATTCACAAACTAACACTTTAATCCATTAAGCTAGAACAATTCCCTGGGGAGAACTTGGAGTCTTAAACCTAACCTGCCTGCTGATGAGTGCTGCTATTTGTCATACTTGACTGCACTTTTCTTTTCACAGTTGCTGCTTCTGTTGCTGAAGAAATTTGTCTTTCTATCTTTATTAGTGACATACACTTGATGAAGGCCGGAGAGCACAATGGCCGAAGCTTTATAATAACAACAGCAAAGATGAACACAGTAGTCTGCATGTAGATAGTGTAAATAATGATGTTCTGCAGTTTATAAGCTAAAATTTATAACCATCTTCTTTTTTTTCTTTTTTTTTTTTTTTTAAATTTTTAATACCTTTTAGAATTTACATACAAAATGCTCACAAATGTTTTTTATCTTTTCTCAATGCCTTTTATTTTAGGGTGAATTTAGAAGACTATTCAAGGAATACGAAGACCTCTGTGGTATTTATATTTCCCGTGTAAAGAAACTGCAGAATCAAAGATATACATTTGGGTAAGAAATTTATTAAATTTTATTTTTGCTCCTGTTATAATTTGCTAAATATTGAGAATATCATGGCCAGGGCATATGAGTAATAAGGAAGTTTTAAGGAGAATAGGAATTATAAAGAAACTACTGCTAACAATCTGAAAGCCTGTCAATTTTTAACTGGGAAAGAATTTGTTTAGAATTTATATTCAATCTGAGGAAAGAATTGCCTAAAGTCAATGTCAAGGATTTGAAGATGGGCATTAAGACTGATAGCTTTTGATTTAGACAGATATCAAGAGTAATTCAATACCATGTGTCGATGTGCTATCAAGATTGGGCTTTTTATAAGAAGTCAAATGAGAATACAGATGAAAAATTTTAATATACATTTTTACACTGAATAGAGACTGATGTTTTATAATTGGAGATAATAACTGAGGAAACTATGCAAGACCCTACAAAGAGGTATGACACAAAATAATGATAGAGAAGTGGGTAATTTAAATGGTGATATGATGGTACCTCTAGAAATACAAAAAGATTTTAATAAAGAGCGTACATGATGACATACATTGTAGTATAGTGGCTACACAAAAATAAGCTGGTATATTTGTGGAAAAATAAGTGAAATTACCTGCGCTTATGGGGCAGCTGTTGGATGTAGAAACTGAGTAGTTGACGGATTCTAGTTTATCAAAGCAAGGCTGCTTCAGGGCACTGATTTTGTAGTCTTTGTTACTGGAAGAGTGGGATGTGCAGGTCTGCTCTTTGTTATTTAAGGTCTGCTTCCTCTTCCTTTCACTGATCTTTATTTTTTTAAGCAGGACATTATGTGAATGGAGTTTTTTTTGCTCGCTCTTCTTTCTATTATTTGATCCCTGTTTAAAATTGTGATGCAAGAGTAGGTGTGTTTCACAATCACTTACTGCTGGGCCGACTTTGATTACCCTTGAGTTGAAGAAATTTTTGACATACTCAAAAGATGTGGATGTAAGAAATTTTACGCAAATGAAGTTACATTTGTGGCCTAAAGACTTGAGCAAAGTTCATATGGATTGCACATATGTGAGTGGATGGGCTTTTCTTAATATTAGTAGATTCCTTTTCAGAATGGCTTGAAGTAATTTGTGTGTCAGTATATGTATTAAGAGTTGTATTTTCAAGAAATGAAGTTCCCAAAATTCTGGTATCTGACAAGGTACTAGAGCAGTGGTTCCCAAAGGCAGAATAATTGAAAGACAATCAAAGATTTAGAAACAGTTTTAAAAAATTCATATGCCAAAAATAAATATTTAAAATTTTCAAATATTATTTTGGATTATTTGTAATTGTATGCACGAGTCCCAGTATAAATAGTTATAAATTTTATCATTGTCATATTTTACATTATATCAAGTGTTATGTCTTTATGCAGCCTAAAGTCCATAACCACACACTTTACACTTAGTGATCCATCTTTCTTTCTTTTGCATCTCTCTGATAATATAACGTGAACTTCCCCCTCTCTTTAAATATGTAACTATATTCACTGACTACAAAAACAATTAGGTCAAACAGGCTGAACCCCAGAAACAGGTCTGAGCAGATTCTCACACATGTGCAGAGTCACGAGACCAAATACGAACATTGAGCAGGAAAAGATTGACAGAAGCCAGTTGGGTAACAAAACTCAAAGAAGTCAGACCAGCTATAAAATTGTCTTGTAATTGGAATTACCGAATTGAAGAGAATGAATGATGTTCCCAACTCACACAAACTCCAAGCACAGAATCAAGTGGAAACAAATCTTGTGCGAATAATATCTCTTTTTACTTGTTACCCTTTCTTTTTATTTTTAAATGCACTTTTTATCAAATTAAATTTGGTGAGGCATAAGCAAATTTTCATTTCAAAAATGTGACACAGAAAAAAATTTGAGAACCACTGTGTGAGAGTTTTGCAATGATGAACTTATGGCTATGACAGATAGAATGCAGACCTTACAAGACACTTCCATATCACCTTCAGTTGGTAAGAATGACACAGACCATAAAAATGAGTCTAAAAGCATGTTTAAAAGAAAATAGAAATTTTTCTACTGAGACTGCTACTAAGTTTCTGAACCATATGAAATGTCGAGGAGAGGAGAACAATTTGGTATTTTTTTTACTTTTGTATTTGTTTTTCATTGGTTAAGTAAATGCTGGGAGAGTAGAGAGTCCATCATCATTCATGAGAAGACAAATTGGAGCTCCCCTAATGATGCTATATTATATAAACTAAAGAATGTGGTACAAAAAGAATACAAAATCAAGTCTATAAAAGGCAAATTTTCTAAAGCAAAAAGTTGTAATAGAAAAAAACAAGGCTGCTGTATACTAGCCAATGCAGATCAAATAAGGTCCAGAGACAAAAATGTAGAAATAGATGAACAAATGTCAAAAGGCATAAAGAATGACAATCATAATGAAAATAATCAGGATAAAATTATACAAATGAAAGCAGATGAATAGGAAGGAGATGAAAATCTAGATCTCCAAAATTTATAAAAGTTCTGATGAAGACCAATTGAAGATAGCCACAATCTCTCGGAAATAGAAATGCGATCAGATCAATGGAAAGAGAAGAGGAAGTAGAGCAAGGAAGTTCTGAAAATGGAACAGAGCCTAGAAGAATCAAAAGACAAATCAAGGGCATAAAAACCCTCCATTTCAGGAAGATGTAATGATATGTAATTGTAAGATCAGATCAATGGAAAGAGAAGAGGAAGTGGAGCAAGGAAGTTCTGCAAATGGAACAGAGCATAGAAGAAGCAAAAGACAAATCAAGGATATAAAAACCCTCCATTTCAGGAAGATGTAATCATATGTAAATGTAAGAGTTTAAACATTTGCATTTGGGCAGGAGACGCACTATATAAACTCAAGGAGTCATGAGGAGAACAAATCTTGTGAGTAGTGATTGTGGGCAACTTGTGAATACTACTACACATCATGACATAAACTAAGAAAGCTGTAATAAAAGCAACAACCAGGAATCCCTTTGGAGACCCTAACCTATAACTGTCATCCCATGTGCATGCATGTTGATGCACATTTGCACCTCCCTGTTGTCTTACTCCATAATTTCAAAATTGCCTTATTTTCTGATTTACTTTAGATTTACTTTGGAAAAAGTTATACACTTCTGTTTTTCAAGTAATCTTCATTATTAAATGTCCTGTTCTTTATATGATTACCTAGGGCTAAAAAAAAGTGAAAATCTGTTGGGGAGAGGTCTGGTGAATATGGTGCATGAAGTATAATCTCCCACTTTAGCTCTGCTATCTTGGCAAGGGTCATTTTTGCAATGTGTGGGCGAGCATTGTCCTGGAGAAACAAAACTTGTTTTCTGTTTACTAATGTAGGCTGTTTCTTCAACAAATTTTCCTAAACTTGTTCAAGTTGCTCACAATATTTGTTAGCATTAATGGTTCCACCTGTTTTTAAAAACTCATTGTGAATTATTCCTTGACATGTCCACCAATCACACAGCAAAAGTTTTTTTGCGGGGAATAGTGGTGCCTTTGAAGTTTGTGGCAAATGATCGCCCGGTAATAACCAATGATGTTTCCTCTTAGAGTTTGTATACATGATCCACTTTTCATCACATGTCATAATTCGATCAAAAATGGGTTCTTTTGTTAGTCTATTGCAATGAGAAGAGCATATGGTAAGCCTCTGCAGTTTTTTTTTTTTTTTTTTGCTGGTGCTAAATCATATGGTACCCATTTGCTTAATTTCCATTTCTTATCTCAGCTGGTGAAAATGCATTCTTATAGTTTCATCGCTTGCATTAAACCAAGAAGGTAGTTCATGACATGTTAAACCTGAACCTGATTATATGGCTGTCTTTAAATCTTCATTATTTAGGGATATTGGTCGTCCAGCTTGAGGTTCATCTTCATGGGTTTCAGTGCCACAAAACTTCTGAAATCAATTCCATGCAGTTTGTTCACTTACTTCACCTTCACCAAAGAAGCACATAATGCACTTGTACCAAGTTTAACCAGACAAGCACAAATTACCAATTTTTTATCAGTCATTTTGAGAGCTCTGAAATGAGAAATAAAATGATATTAGTTATGTAATAAAATAATAACAGAATCATTCAACAATGTACTTGCCAATACAAGTTGCTTCCTGTATACTTATGCTTGTTAGTAGCTAAACAGCTGGCCAGAAATAAGTTAACAAAAATTGGCAAAAACTTTTTTGGCCACCTGATAAATTATTTAAAAAATGGGGTAAGAGTTTAAAAAAAATAGAGAAAAATTTCTTTACATAAATCACTTAAAGTATCTAGCTACAGTTTACATATTGCTTTACTTGGGTTATCATCAGAAATTTAAAAAAAACATCCAAACTACACTTTTCTGCTTGGCATTGGATGCACTTGAAATAATTGGGGGTCTGAAAATAACAAGCATTGGTTAAAATTTAAATATTTCACTGTTAGATAAAAAAATGTTTCTAGTTTTCTAATGTGTATAATTTGTAAAGATTCAACTAATAATGGTTTGCTATTAATTGTAGAATAAAAAAAGGGTTTTCTTTTTTTTTTTTTTTTTTTGTCCACCTTTTTAACTTTTAACAAGCAAAGGCTCCTTCTGTAAATATTATGCAATCTTCTCAAAATTTTATATGTGGCATTTTTCAATGAATGGAACAAATTTAGTGGTGACAATTCAATTTCAGCATGCACTTCAAAAATAAGAAACATCCTAATATATATAGATAATATTGCAACAATAATACTCTAAGCAAAAGGCATCATCCTATGTATTCTGGTTTAATTCATGCATACATTTTGATAAAGCGCAAAGTGTACCTGCAAACGCAAATTTTAAACTTGCTTATAGACATTTAATAAAAATTATCACAGCAACTTAATAAATAAATAATAAAAGGTTGTCAATCTTATCTAAATACTCTCTTGCCCACTTTTAAACACCCCAGAACAACACAGCTGCATCAACCAAACGGACATGTTATTACTGTGGT